TTTTGACAGAGACATATTGGGGCAATGAGGGTGCCAAAGCACATAATGTTAAAAGTAGAAGCCGTAATAAATATTGCGGGCAGAACAAAGTAGTTCATCCGGACTGGCTGCACTTGCTTGACCTACTTGCTCTGCCCCGGTATAAACAGTTTGCTTGCTTATCACAATTGCTATTGCACCATCCAGTGGACGCAATTGGAACAGCAGTTTCTTTTATTGAAAAATTGCAGCTCATTTTTATACTTTACAAAATCATCTCGCGGGCCGGATTAAACCCGCTAGCGGGCCTGATCCGGCCCGCGGGCCGGACGTTTGACACCCCTGCTGTAGACTGTTTTAGAGAAATGTCATCATTGAATACATTTACATTTACATTTACGTCATTTAGCAGACGCTCTTATCCAGAGCGACTTACAAATAGGTGCATTCACCTTATAGCCAGTAGTACAACCACTTTACAATGTTTTGTTTTTAAATTTTTTTTTTTTATTATTCTTTTATTTAATTTAATTTTAATTTTTATTTATTTTTTAGGGGGGGGGGGGGGGGGGGGTTGGGGTAAGGGGGGGTAGAAGGATTACTTTATCCTATCCCAGGTATTCCTTAAAGAGGTGGGGTTTCAAATGTCTCCGGAAGGTGGTGAGTGACTCCGCTGTCCTGGCGTCGTGAGGGAGCTTGTTCCACCATTGGGGTGCCAGAGCAGCGAACAGTTTTGACTGGGCTGAGCGGGAACTATGCTTCCGCAGAGGAAGGGGAGCCAGCAGGCCAGAGGTGGATGAACGCAATGCCCTCGTTTGGGTGTAGGGACTGATCAGAGCCTGAAGGTACGGAGGTGCCGTTCCCCTCACAGCTCCATAGGCAAGCACCATGGTCTTGTAACAGATGCGAGCTTCAACTGGAAGCCAGTGGAGTGTGCGGAGGAGCGGGGGTGACGTGAGAGAACTTGGGAAGGTTGAACACCAGGCGGGCTGCGGCATTCTGGATGAGTTGTAGGGGTTTAATGGCACAGGCAGGGAGCCCAGCCAACAGCGAGTTGCAGTAATCCAGACGGGAGATGACAAGTGCCTGGATTAGGACCTGTGCCGCTTCCTGTGTAAGGCAGGGTCGTACTCTCCGAATGTTGTAGAGCATGAACCTACAGGATCGGGTCACCGCCTTGATGTTAGCAGAGAACGACAGGGTGTTGTCCAGGGTCACGCCAAGGCTCTTCGCACTCTGGGAGGAGGACACAACGGAGTTGTCAACCGTGATGAATAAGCTTTTTCATTGTCTGCTTATATGCCCCCGTTATTTATCCTACGGTTCTGACTTGGTGTACAGGGAGAATACTGTAAGAACGGCCCATGTTCTGAAATATGTCGCAGTACATTTCAAACAAATAGTTATGTCTTAATCGAAATGTACACCTTGCCTCTTATCCGCTCATCGTTCCCTCATGCCATAGTTTGTACATCTCAATTGTTATATTGCTTATATAGGTCTCTTATTAATCATTTTAGGCAATGTTGGAATGATTTCATTGTTTTGCTTACTTTGTGTATTATAATTAGCTCGTGTGCTTTTCTTCACGAGGAGGGATAATATATAATGTTCTTTGGTCTGTAACCATGTTTGTCAGTGACAGCCTCTTCCCATTCAAATATTTTTTTTCAACTAAAAGTTCAGCAATAGACCCATGTAATTCCAGTTGATATTGCGAGGGTTGTTTATTGCGCTGTCTGTGCGTCGATATATTGTCTATTAAAGTGGATCCTCGTGATTGTATTTTCCTTCCTTTTTAGACCACGTAGGCCTAATTAAATACTTCAAATGATAGGCTAACCGTGTCTCTCTCTCGCTCTGTGTGGTAACTTGAAGAAGAGTAAAGTTAAGGCCTCAACATCTTGCGAATTTATCACAACTATCATCTGCATTTCTGTCGGGGTCTAATTTGAAAGTCCTGAACAAATAGGCCTACCTCGTCGCAGCTCGTTTGCTTGCACTTGCTTATACTTAGAGCTAAGTGTTAATGATATAAGAACAAACATTATGAATTTACTGAACATAAATGTAATAATGTTTGTGTATGGTTCAAAAGTCAAAACTCATGGTGGCGTTCGTTATTATTGAAGGAGAATCCGGTTCTTATCGACTTACATAAATCCACAAGGAGTCAGAAGAAACCATATTTGTTTAAACAAGTCAGCCATTTCAGCTATGGTTTTTAAAAAGGCAGTAAATGAGGCTGAATAAACTGTTTTGCTGCCAGACGAGGCTCCGCTGATAGCCAGGTGTAGCTGGGGTAAGGATTCTCTCCATGGTGCTGAAAGGAAAACTCCGATGTCGGGACAGCTTTATGTAGGCCCTAACAGTTTGTGGGCACCATTTGTCAACGCTAAAGAGCAATTCATGTATTGTTTAGTGTTGTGGGTTGATATTATGGTGGTATGAGGAAGAACGTACAACTGGATAAAGGATTTCCTGTTTGGAAGGTCTATCCAGGTGAGGGTGGGGAAGTCAGGCAGCTACCTGGTGGATAACGGTACACCACAGGGGAGCGTGATTAGTCATCTGTTGTTCTCAATCATGATCAAAGATGTTTACTCTCAGGTACAGACGGATATTGGGAGGTCGTTATTTGCAGATGATGGGGCCTTATGGAAGAGAGGAAGAAATGTGCCATAAATGGTCAGGAAGGTACAGGAAGCAATTGATGAGGGATGGGGATTCGGGGGGGGGGGGGGGGGGGGGGGGGGGGGCGCTGGGCGTTCCTCATTGAGGACCATGTATGTTGCACTGATCCGATCTGTAATAGATTAGCAGTATAGCATATGGTTCTGCAGCTTGGACCTCATTGGAAAGGCTAGATGTCATATGGGGCAAGGACTCAGAATATGTAGTGGGGCGTTTCAGACGTCCCCAGTGGCTGCATTACAGGTGGAGATGGGGGATATGCCATTGCAGATTAGGAGAAGGCAGCTGGCAATGAATTATTGGGTCAACCTACAAGGACATGGGGCGTCTCATCCTGCGAAAGGGATTTTACAGGCATGCTGGGAACATGAGAGAAGACAGAACATGAGCTTTGGGTGCGTGGGTAATACCCAGGCGAAGGAGATGGGACTGTATGGAAGGGAGTTTATTCCAACGGTAGCTATTCCTGTAAATCCACCATGGCTACTCCCGCCTCCAGTAGTTGATCTAGAAGTGGTGGAGAGACTACAGAAAGATAGGGAGATTGTTGATCCATCTGATTTGTTTAAGAGACGTCTGTATACTGTGTATCAGGATTTTGTGGCCATTTACACAGATGGTTCAAATTATTCAAGAAAAGGACGTACTGGGTCAGCATTTGTAGTGCAGGAATGTGGGGTGGAAGTCAGGAAACGTATTACAGATCATCTGGCTGTATATACGGTGGAGCTGATGGCCATACTGTTGGCCTTGCAGTGGGTGGAGGAAGTCAAACCAGATACTTGGGTCCCAGCCCATGTGGGGGTGGAGGGGAACGAGGCAGTTGATATACTGGCTAAACAAGCACTTAGTAGTGCGGATCTTGATGTTGTAGTTTCAATGAGCAAGGCAGAGGCAAAACGCCTGATATATACAGTGATGGTGCAGAGATAAATAAATAATAAATTGGTCATTTAGCAGACGCTCTTACCCGGTTACTGGCACAACGCTCTTAACCACTAAGCTACCTGCCGCCCCATGGCAGGAGCAGTGCAATAGAGATAATAAGGGCAGGCATTTATTTCAAGTACAGAGGAAAGTCAGGGAGGGGAGGCTATTTTTAAAAGAATAAGGGTGGGACACAGCCAGTTGAATAAGACATTAAATGTGATAGGAACGCATCCAACATTAAAGTGTGATTCTTGCCAGGAAACAGAGACCGTGGAGCATGTATTGCTACAGTGTGGGCAGTATCAGAGGGAAAGAGAGAGGATGAGGGAGAAGGGGATACAGGAAATTAGTTTAAAGAGTATATTGAGTAGAACGTCATTAGATATAGTGTCAAATATGTTGTTATCTTTTTTAAGAGAAACGGGGCTGGCAGGTAGGATTTAGTTTCTCCCTGTCTCTGACCCACATTCCAGTACAGTACGTGGCGGTAATGCACCTTAACGTTGGATGTCAACCGCCGATAAACCCCATTGAAGAAGAAGAAGAAGAAGTAGCAGTTGTGGCTTTGCTGGCATGCATAAAAAAAAAATAGGTTGAGTTTGCCCCACCAGATTTACATGCTAAAATCGCCACTGGTCATACCTAACTGCCCCAGTGGCTTTCCATTGAGGCCCACAGTGGAGGTGTCATAATCCTCATAAAAGCTCTCTCGGACAAGATGACTTTTATCAATATATTCGGCTCTATTTACTCTCAGATTCGCATCAACGTAGACATCATGCAAGACTACAAATCCCTGCAAGCTCCTTTTTTTGTGAGAACCATCAGTAGTTTAAAATTCGATGGAAACCGATTTAACTTGTATTTTTTATTCGGTATGTGGGAGTTTAACCGCAAAATGTATTTTATGTGCACTACATAATCGCGCACAGACTTGTCTTCAACAAGTCAATTTGATGGAAGCACATATCTGGTGGGGAAATGCGCATATTGTTATGCAGATTTTTGAATATTCACATGAAAATCTGTCGCCAATTGGAAGGAAACCTAGCTAATCATTGAAACATTTTTTTGCTATTTTTATATAGGGACATAGAACTAAAACTGAGGGGGTACAAGTTTGAACTGAGGGCCCCCTTGTGGAACCGGGTAAGCCTACAGGTCAAAGGTTTTTTTTTTGGTGCATTTTAGTTAACCCTAACCCGTTTACAATGCTTAACCTAATTCTCCTAAACTGCTAGGTTAGTTATCCTTACCTGCTCCGTAAAGTCTCCTAACCTGCTACGAAAAGTCAATTCTGACTAGCTGTATCCATCCCTTCTAGCCAAAATGGTGCGAACTATTCTGTCGACAGTCCATAACTTCCTGTTAAGAGAAAAGCAAAAGAGGAAGCAGTAATGGCGACAACAGAAGGATCCGAGCCTCCTCGGACCCGAAGAAATAGTAATAAAAACATCCTTACAAGGATCAGACATGGACAAAGCACTGGCCGGGCAATTAGTCGAGGCACAGAGGTAAAATACACATTCAGAAATCATTGCTAAAAGACGAAATTACAAGGGTTTGGGACGGAGAAAGACAGTTGGCTAGCTTGCTTGCTAACGTTAACTTTCGCTATTTACAGTAGCTACGTCTACTCAAACGGAGCGCTGAGACCGCTAACTAGATAACGTTAGCTAGCTAAAATAGTAGAAGTCAGAAGTATATGTAGCCATTACATTAGATAGCTAGCAAGTCACTATGCTAGTCACGGCAACCCAAAGGAAAGTTGGTGCTAGCTGTTAGCGGGCTACAGCTATTACATTTAACATCAACTGTTATGACTGTTAGCTAGCCCAGTTAACGTTACTGATTTATGTACTTTATTTGCCCAATCCTTGACATGTTTTTGCTCCTATGGTGTTCCTTCCTTGTCCTCTAGATATCTGAGGCCCTACTCCAGGAGAGAGACCAGCAGGCCCAGTGGCATGGGATTCCAGTGCTGCTGCAGAGACTTTATGACAGCAGTCACCTCAACAGTGACCTCTCCCAGATCCACTCCATTATCAAGGTGCAAATAATAAATACTCTTCCCAGACCTGTCAGAGCTGTAATGCCACACGTAGAGGCAAAGGTTTCATGCTCGTTTTTCCCATGTTAGCTGTGATGGTATTTGCTGCTGAGTTGACGGGTGTGTTGTCTCTGTGGTGTGGTAGGAAGTGTCATCTTTTCTCTCCATGGAGGCTATGTCATTTGTAACAGAGGACAGGAGAACAGCACAGGAGTCCACCTATCCCAACATATACACCTTTGACCTCTTTGGAGGCGTTGATGTGAGTCTCCAACATGTTGACACAGAGGCAAATATAACTGTCTTGTCAGTGGTCATATTTGCTGTGTAAGGGTTTGAATTTCTGCTTTGTCCTTAGTTGCTAGTGGAGATTCTGATGAGACCCACCCTCACCACACAGATGAATGTCCCTAAAAGTAAGCCACATTAAAACATTCCTAGGTCATAGTTTTGCAAATCTGAGGAATTTAAGATGCCCTGAATAGATTCTAACCTGTGTTCTCTTTGCAGTGAGTGATGACCTTGTCAAGGATTGTTTAAGTGTTCTGTACAATTGTTGTATATGTGTAAGTATCAATGCCATTGATAAATAGTGTTCGAATGCATGTAAGATAATATCTGGCAACTTAACACTGTCTGAAACATAGGATGATGTCCACCCTCTTACCTTTCTTTTAGTCAGAAAAGGCTAATCATTAGCTTTCCCTCATTTTCAGATGGAAGGAGTCACTAAAAGTCTGGCATCACGAGATGACTTTGTCATGTATTTGTTTACACTGATGTCAAACAAGAAAACATTTTTGCAAACAGCCACATTGATTGAGGACATTCTTGGGGTCAGTAAGGTAAGGATGGCCTAAAAACCCTTACTATCACTGTCAATCTTTACAAATTATTCATTCAAATTGACTGAATCCCACTGAACCTAAATGCTTAAAGATGCACCAAAACATCAATAACCTGTACCTTCTACCTTCCTCTCTGTGCTCCAGGAGATGATCCAGCTGGAGGACATCCCCAACCTGCCAAGTCTGGTTCAGAGCTTCAACCAGCAGCAGCTGGCCAACTTCTGCCGCATCCTGTCAGTCACCATCTCTGAGCCAGACATGGGCAACGATGACAAGCACACGCTGCTGGCCAAGAACGCCCAGCAGAGGGCCAACCCCTGCCCGTCCCACTCTGAAGTCAACCAGGGTAAGACAGCTCTCACCATCAAACCTGAGAGAGACTATAGAAGGAGTTGTCACATTCAATGATGCTTCTTCATATGACTAGCATTTAATGAAGAAAATGCTTGTTAATGACTTGTCCCTATATTGCTCAGCAATGCATGAGATGAAAAGTTGATGGATTTGCACTCCTCAATGCCTGTCCTTAGCACTCTGTTGACGGGAAAGAGTAAATTGATAATCAAATAATCTGTTCTCCCCTGTGTGTATCAGTGGCCCTGCTGAACATCCCAGGCTTCATTGAGCGGCTGTGTAAGCTGGCCACCAGGAAGGTGTCAGAGGCCTCGGGGGCATCCAGCCTGCTGCTGGAGCTTCAGGACTGGTACACCTGGCTGGACAACGCCCTGGTGCTGGATGCGCTCATGCAGATGGCCACAGAGGACGCCGAGCAGAGTAGCACAGGTCAGAACAATAGATAGACATGCACTCTCCCTCACACACATGCACGCACGTTAGGATTGAATATTTTCCCAGTATTTTACAAATGGTCCATCCCGAGAACAAATCACCTTTCTCCCGGGTAACCCAGTTTTTTACCAAAACCTGAAGTGTCATTTCAAAAGCATATAAAAAGCCTATGTCTGGATTTGACTAGAGCTTTGATCAAAAATTCAGGCCTGATGCTACCTGAGTCTGATGAGCCATACATTAAAGACATTTTGTGAGCCCAAGCCCAAAAAAACCCAAGTGATTGTGCCTTTATCCTATACATACACTACCGTTCAAAAGTTTGGGGTCACTTAGACATTTCCTTGTTTTCGAAAGAAAAGCAATTTTTTTGTCCATTTAAAATAACATATCTCAGACTGCCCATCTTAATATTTTATTTTTATTGGCCAGTCTGAGATAGGGCTTTTTCTTTGGAACTCTGCCTAGAAGGTCAGCATCCCGGAGTCGCCTCTTCACTGTTGACGTTGAGACTGGTGTTTTGCGGGTACTATTTAATGAAGCTGCCAGTTGAGGAGCTGTGAGGCATCTGTTTCTCAAACTAGACACTCTAATGTATTTGTCCTCTTGCTCAGTTGTGCACCGGGGCCTCCCACTCCTCTTTCTATTCTGGTTAGAGCCAGTTTGCGCTGTTCTGTGAAGGGAGTAGTACACAGCGTTGTATGAGATCTTCAGTGTCTTGGCAATTTCTCGCATGGAATAGCCTTCATTTCTCAGAACAAGAATAGACTGATGAGTTTCAGAAGGAAGTTCTTTGTTTCTGGCCATTTTGAGCCTGTAATCGAACCCACAATTGCTGATGCTCCAGATACTCAACTAGTCTCAAGAAGGCCAGTTTTATTGCTTCTTTAATCAGCACAACAGTTTTCAGCTGTGCTAACATAATTGCAAAAGGGTTTTCTAATGATCAATTAGCCTTTTAAAATGATAAACTTGGATTAGCAAACACAACGTGCCATTGGAACACAGGACTGATGGTTGCTGATAATGGGCATCTGTACGCCTATGTAGATATTCCATAAAAAATCAGCCGTTTCCAGCTACAATAGCCAGTTACAACATTAACAATGTCTACACTGTATTTCTGATCAATTTGATGTTATTTTAATGGACAAAAAAATAATAATTTCTTTCTAAAACAAGGACATTTCTACGTGACCCCAAACTTTTGAACGGTAGTGTACCTTTCATAATATTTCCCATAATGTTATTAGCCTACCTCCTCTTTCTCTCTCTCTCGTTGCCTCATTCCTTCCTCGCTTTCAACAGTTAAAATAAGTATGTTCCGTTGTCCTTATCTTCAACATTAATGACATGCTTGAGTAATATAGGACTAGAATTGACGGCTTTCACTTCTCTTCATGAAGACCGAATAGTTATGGGTCTGAATAAATAACTTCTATAGCCTACCGCCATCGCGCATTTGCTCTTCTTTCAAACTACCCGTGAGTTCTATTGGCTGCTGTATTTAACATTCAGAAAACAAGAGCTTGCATCCCTCTTCGAATTGTCTATTGGTATAAGAAATGCAACAAAACAATTTTCCAGCAAGCTATTCTAGTCTAGCTTTTCCTACATGGGACTCCAAGAGCTAAGGAGTGTTTTTTAAGGAGAGAGGACAGCAGATCACAGGTGTGTGTATATTGCGCAATAGACAGAGGCTAGTTAGACACTTATTATGCATAACCCATCAATCATTAGCTAAATATAAGGCTAATACTGTGTTGACTTTATCACCTGAAAGAGGTAGGCTTAGACAGCTATATATATCAATTTTGAGCTGGATGATCTATTTTGGATGAGAAAGAGAGAGGGAGGGGAAGACTGCTCGAGCATGCTCTTATTTAAAGCAACGATATTCGAGTGATAGGCTGTTTCAAAACACTGCAGCTGCAATAATAAAAAATGAAGGTGACCCCGAAAGCCAGATGGAGATGTGTAAATTAGACAGTCATTCGGTCCTAATATTACTGTAGGATAAGCTATGCTGCAGCAAATGTAGGCCTACCTGTCACAAGAAAAAAAGCTACCATGATGAGACGATGGGTCTACATGCATTGTGAACTGCATTCCATACTGAGATGGGCTGTCTGTCCCCACCATGATCGTTGATGATTGATCATGCAGAGAGCAGAGAGAAGGCCGTAGCGAAGCCATATTTAGACATCGCATATATATTTAACAGTTCCATTTCACGTCATGCTGTTGATATATATAATGTATTATAATTGACTGGTTTCTCGCAGTTATTTATCCCGGGAAAAGGGAGTGGTTTTGGGCGTTAAATCTCGGTAACCGGGTTCCCGCCATTCAATCCAAACGCACGTCATGCTCCAGTCATCTTGGACATGGAAACTCATGTCCAACTCATCCCACGGAGGGCCGAGTGTCTGCGGGTTTTCGCTCCTCCCTTGTACTTGATTGATGAATTAAGGTCACTAATTAGTAAAGAACTCCCCTCACCTGGTTGTCTAGGTCTTTAATTGAAAGGAAAAACCAAAAACCCGCAGACACTAGGCCCTCCATGGAATGAGTTCGACACCCCTGGATTACAGTATGAAAGACTGTTCACCATTTTAGTAATACGGTTCAGTGTGACAGACTACATAGGGCCCTATAAAATCTGCTTTGTAGACGGATTCACGGAATCCAGACATAATCCAAACGTAATTCAATAATATTCAAACATTTATTGAAATTGATAGGGAATCAACTAAATGTATTGAACTTATTAGAAAATGCATTAATTTGTCAAACTTAATCATTAGACATGAACAAAATGCATCAGTGATTCGTATTTTCCTGCAACGGCATAGGAATGCCCCTGTGTATGTCTACACTTTGTGTAGCTGTTAGTGATGATGCTAATGATAACCTTCTTCTGGTAGAGATGGAAAGGCTTTCCTAAAAACCTTCTCCGTTAAATGTTAACTACAAAGTAACCTATGCCTACCTGGCTGAATATAATTATTATTTGCATCAATCTAGTGCCATTTGTTTTGCAAACTCTGCAATCACATGAGCGCTACAGAAACATTTCTAACCAAACAACGCTCTCTTGCTGGTGGCACTTGCATTAAAGGGTATCTACATCAAAAAATCAAATTGTGTTTTTTCAGACCTTTAAGTGGACTCCTGATGTGGTTTAAGCGTTGTTGTGGACTTAGAACATCCATTTTCTTTTTTTTTATTAAAAAGGTATGATTTTGAGACCAAAAACCGGAAGAAAATAAGGAAAAATTGACACCTGTTTAAGCAAAACAGAGAAAATGGAATTTGGGGAAAAAATAAAACTGATTTTATAGGGCTCTATGTGTACAGTACCATATGTTGTCGTAATCTCAATGTGTTATGTACGCTGTGCTCTTTCTCAGAGTCCTCAGACGAGAGTTCTCTGGCCACCAGCCCTCTCAGACACCGTCTGCCCCAGTCCATGAATATTGTCCATGAGATCATGTACAAGGTGGAGGTGCTCTATGTGCTCTGTGCGCTACTCATAGGCCACCAGAGGAACCAGGTGAGAGCCAGATATCTGGAGTTTACAACAGTTGGTTTGGGAAAATGGGTTCCGTTAGTAACTGAGATTGTAAGGTTTTTCTTAGCCACTGTGCTTCTGCCTCTGCATTGCTTGCTCTTTGGGGTTTTAGTCTGGGTATCTGCAAAACACTGACAACTGCTGATGTACAAAGGGCTTTATAAAATAAATGTGATTGATTGATTGTAAATGTATCGTGCCTTGTAAACAGGTTCACAAAATGCTGGCAGAGTTCAAACTGATTCCAGGACTTAACAACCTGTTTGACAAGCTGATCTGGAGAAAGCAAACATCTTCGAATGTCCTCCATGGCCAGAACCAAAACTGTGGCTGCAGCCCGGTAAGAAGACCCCTCTGCTCTGGGAATGGGTCAATGGGCGCATTCACACTCCACCTTAGCCCAGGGTTAAGAGCAGGGTTAGCACCGACTTTTCGGGGTTAGCCCCAGAAACTCGGTGCCAAAATAGCCAGTGTGAAAAGGGGTCAAAAACAACGCCTAGAATGCTCACTGTCCAATCACAAAAGCGTCACTTTCACTTAATTTCCATACGCATGTGATGCCTGTAATGCGTTCTGCACATTATTTTGACAAGTCAATTCATAATATTTAATCCTTCCATCTGAGGACAAAAAAACAAAATACTTTCATCCATGCAAAAACATTGGTTGCTATGCCTAACAAAAATGGTTGCTATGCAGGCTGGATAATGTCTTTTCACTTAGCCAACTAAAGCTACAAACTCTACAGCTGGAAGGGCAGCAAACGCTCCATTTTCATAGCTTTTCTATTGACATTTAATTGCATATATCCATGATGATAATAATATTGTTGCATGATTTTGCCTGGATCAGAAAAGTTGATCCCGTTAGTTCACAGCATTCTCTGTGGCGAGATCGAATTTTAAGTGATTTTTTTTTCCTGATGTCGGACAGGCAGACAAGCAAGGTTTATACAAACCATCCCACTGTTGGAAATCAAATGCTAGGCCAGAATCAAGAGGAAATAATGTGTTAGTAAATGTCTTATTGCGTGTAACATTGGTTGTGTTTGTCCGTTAGCCCAGGGCTTTGGAATACAAGTGTGAATCCTTAGCCCAGGGCTAATGCTTAGCCCAGGGTTAACAAATGCTTGTGTGTACACTGACCATGGGCTAGCTTATCCTGTCTAGCCTGGGGCTAAGAACAATGCAGTGTGAAAAGGCCTAATGTGTCAATGGCATTGTAGCACTAATCACTGCTATTGCACCACTCACTGATCCTCCTCTCTTCATCACACACAGGAGATCGCCTTTAAAATCCAGTTCCTACGATTACTCCAGAGCTTCAGCGACCATCATGAGTGAGTACATTAAAGACTAGGTGTATGAAAGAAACTATATTGCTGGGGAATTAAGACACATCGCCTGATATACACTATGAAAGTCCTGCCTACTTCCTGAATCATATCTCATACTGTTTTTGAAAGGGCTTCAAGATTATATCTTCAAATCCATGAAAACGCAGTCATATAAGATATACACTGAGTGTACAAAACATTAGGAACACCTGCTCTTTCCATGACATAGCTTTCACCTGGTCAGTCTATGATCCCTTATTGATGTCACCTGTTAAATCCATTTTAATCAGTGTAAATGAAGGGGAGGGGACAGGTTAAATAAGGATTTTTAAGCCTAGAGAATTGAGACATGGATTGTGTATGTGTGCCATTCAGAGGGTGAATGGGCAAGACAAAAGATTTAAGCGTCTTTGAACAGAGTATGGTAGTAGGTGCATCGGTTTGAGTGTGTCAAGAACTGCAACGTTGCTGGGTTTTTCACGCTCAACAGTTTCCCGCCAACTTGACACAACTGTGGGAAACATTGAAGTCAACATGGGCCAGCCTCCCTGTGGAACGCTTTCAACACCTTGTAGATCATGCCACAACGAATTGAGGCTGTTCTGAGGGCAAAAATGGGGTGCAACTCAATATTAGGAAGGTGTTTCTAATGTTTTGTACATTCAGTGTATGTAAAACAGGGATGGGCAACTCAAGTCCTCGGGGGGCTGGAGTGGTGTCACACTTTGTCCCCATACCTAGCAAACACAGCTGATTTAAACTAATTGTGTTCTAAAGTGAAGATCATGATTAGTTGATTATTGGAGTCAGGTGTGTTAGCTGGGGCTGGGGCAAAAGTGTGACACCAATCAGACCCCTGAGGACTGGAGTTGCCCATCCCTGATGTTAAAATTATTTTCGTAATTATGGATTAATTTACTTCTATCTGATGCTTTTTCAGGAAGGTTTTCGATTGTGTTTTCTTTTTTCGTAATCGAAAACCTTCATAAAATACATTGGGTAGTGAGTTTGGTACCATCTCAGTGAATCTGTCATTTGGATCATGTCTGATCTTTCCTCCTCCCTCTCAGGAACAAGTATCTCCTCCTGAACGCTCAGGAGCTGAATGAACTGAGTGCCATCTCTCTGAAAGCCAGCATCCCTGAGGTGGATGCTCTTGTCAACACGGACCGGTAGGGCTCATAGTTAGGCTGGCGCACAGGGATGGAGGACGTTTTGGGGTTCTGAATTTGATAAAATCCCCCATTGCATGCATCCTCACCCTTCTCTTTTCTCTCTCCTATATAGAAATCTAATCTGTGATGGTAAAAAGGGCCTCCTGACACGGCTACTTTCAGTCATGAAGAAAGAACCGGTTGAATCCTCATTTAGGTGAGTGTGTTTACTCCAGGAGTTAATGAGTGAAACATTATGCCACAGATAAAGAGTTAGAACCCCCGTCTCTCTGTCTGTAGGTTCTGGCAGGCGAGGGCGGTAGAGAGCTTCCTGAGAGGGGCCACCTCCTATGCTGACCAGATGTTCCTGCTCAAGAGAGGCCTGCTGGAGGTACGGAGGCTGTTGCCAAGCCAGTGAGGACACGCACACCTATGATATAACAGCTTTCAAGGTTTCATTTAAAACCTCCCAATAATCCCTCTCCTTTGTCTCTCTAGCACATTCTGTTCAGCATCATAGACAGTGGCTGTAAGTCTAGGGACGTGCTGCAGAGCTACTTTGACCTGCTGGGGGAACTCATGAAGTTCAACATCGACGCCTTCAAGAGGTTCAACAAATATGTCAACACAGAGGAGAAGGTAGGCCAGGGGTCAGGGCAGAGGGGTTAGGGTTAAGACTTCAAAACACTGAGAAGCAAGGTGAGTATACATGTAAATAGATGGTCAGTCAGGGGCAATTCCATGGTAAGAGTCATGCTGTGACACAGATTTTTCACTTTAAAATGCATGTCAAAAAAAAAATATATATTGCAAAGTTAAACATACTATACAACTCGATGCACAAGGACTACTTTTAACAATTTCCACTGAAATTTAAAAACAGGAAGTGCCCTCAGTTAAAACCTTATCCCTACCAATTGACAACTTTCAAGTCCTGTTACATGTTTGGTTTAATTTCTGCATCCTGTGTTAGTTCCAGACTTTTATGACCCAGATCAACAGCTCTCTGGTGGACTCCAACATGCTGGTGCGCTGTATCATCCTCTCCCTGGACCGCTTTGAGAGCCAGATTGAGGATGTGAGCGGTAGGTCCATAGAAATAGGCTGTAGAAACACCAGTTGTTTTAGTAGGCCTAATGAAGCATCAGGGATGCTTTGTGTGTGGCTTTATGGTAGTGAAATATGTCTACTCTTGGTATTCTTAGTTATCCTCCTCTGACTCATCCATGTTTCTCTCCTTTCCCCCTCTCTCCTGTAGTTGTGGAGGTACTGTCAGAGTGCAGTCTGTTGTCCTACATGGCCCGCGTGGAAAACCGACTGACCTTCCTCTTCAGGCTCGTTAACATCATCAATGTGCAGACACTCACACAGGCAAGGAAACACACTATCCTATGTTCTGTTGACAGTTTTACTAATGGCTCACGTGCTATTGCATCCTCCTAGCTATTATAGACTTTACATTCCTGTATTTCTTGTTTCTCATATTGAGACATACTTGTCTTCATCTGCAGATCAGCTAACTGTATGATCCTGTCTGTTATTTGATGGTGGCTGAACCCAATGTTAGGAGAATGTGAGCTGTCTGAACACCAGCCTGGTGGTGTTGATGCTGGCCAGGAGGCGGGACAAGCTGCCTTACTGTCTCAACGCCCTGAGAGAGAAGGAGTACGCTGAGAAATACCCCGGCTGCCTGCTCAACAACTTCCACAACCTGCTGCGCTTCTGGCAGCGCCACTACCTCAACAAGGACAAGGATAGCACCTGTCTGGAGAACGTGAGTGTCCTGGCCAATGCACACACACCCCGTTGTTACTTTAATGCTGTCTACTCTACTCTATATTGCTTGCTATGGTGGTAATTCTGTATTAGGTCACCTGTACATTGGACCATGCTCCATCCTATTGTGGTTGTGAATGGTCTCAGGGGAATTTATATCTTACATCTCTCTCCTATTCTCTATCAACCCTCTTCCTGCAACAGAGTTCCTGTATATCCTTTACCTACTGGAAGGAGACTGTGTCGGTTCTGTTGGACTCAGACCCAACTTCACTATGTGCCATAGCCAGCTACATCGATGAGGCCTACATGGATCTGGGCAGAGACTTTCTGGAAGTTTAATACCTGGGATGCTGCCTCTGGAAAGATGGATGGATGGATGGATGGATAAGAAAGAGAGGAGGAGAGGCAACGTCTCCAATCACTTACAAACTGAACAGATCCGAGCTCTCACCCCTCCACATAGCTGTTATTCAGGGATCCTTAGCTCTACAGAATGACTGTGTGCATAGTTTTGGGCGTGTGTGTGTGTGTGGATATGCTTTAGTGGGTATGTGAGTGTTAGGTGTAGGAGTGGATGCTTGTGTCATATGTGTGTGGAGCTGTGTTGGGGTGTATCACATGCCAGACTTGGGAGTTTCCATTCTATTGTATCTGTGGAGGGGAAACAGTCAGCCAATCAGCAGCCCCAGAGGACTGAGGTTCCTTCAGCCTTTCACTAACAGTATGGATAGGATCTCTCCTACCCTCTGGTAAACAAAAATACATTCCCACTTCATAGTGTCGCCAAAATGTACATGGTCATTACATTGGCAGTTGGTGCATATCGTACAGAGTACTTACAACTCATATACCTGTTTGTGTAATAGTTCTACAGTAAGGAAAGGTTTTAACAATCAATTTGAGTTTGTTTGCAGATGTAATTCATGTAATTACATTTTGATGTGCAGTCACACAAACACGATATGTAAGTACACCAACTGGAAAAAATACATTACTCTACCGGTATGTCAATATGTTTTAGGGACATTGAGGCCTAGATTCAATCAGATCAAGTGTTAACCGGTGATAGCCGACACCAGAATAGCTGATGTTTTGTGTCGGAGGTGTAACTGCGTTGCAGCTGTCAAATCTGTGAGCAGCTGCTCTTGTGATCATTGTCACGAAGCCACAACGTCCCACTCACTTTAATGTTCAGAACGAGAAAGTGTAGGCTATATAGAAATAATGACGTTCAAATTGAAAATCATTCAACAAAATTAGGATTTCTATCAGCCTAATTGAGGTGTCCAGTGCTCAAACTTGCAAACAAGTCTGCATGGGATTTCTCTTAATGCGACTCCATGCAGCCAATGGCAATGTCTGCTTTAGGTATAATGCTGGGAGCTGCTTGTGGATTTGACAGCTCTAACGCAGTTCCACTGACCAAAAAAACAACCACTCTGCGGATCCGATTGAATAGAGCCCTTAATAGAAGTGAGACCAAAACATCAGTATTTCAGGGACAAGCAATAGTTTTATTTTATTGGTCTAGAAAGAGGCTTGATTTAAAGAAATACATCATAACATGATCCGTGTAAATGACAAAGGATTTAGGACGAGGTGGACACAAGGCTCTGGACTCACCAGAAGAATGAATTTGTTTCAGGTCCAACACACACAGGAGTCCTGACTGCCATCCTTAGTAATGTTAGGAAAGGTGTTTCACTTATGGCATGAGAGGCTCCTACATGTTGTGTGCCCATTTTCAGAATCAGTGTGCATCTGTACGTGACACTGGGCCTACAGGTTTCTTTCTGCATAGAAAAGTATTTGGCAGACCAAACCGTATAAATGTTTTTACATTTGGGATGGTGAAATGTTTTCAGTGTAAACTTAAAACAATTAAAACCAGAAAGTATGTAGAAAAGATAATGGACCTATATCTTTTTTTAATAAGATCTTTGAGAACTAACAATCACAAAAATATAAATGAAAACTAAAATTCCAAAAATGATGCGTTCAGAAGTATTTTTGTCATGACATAGGACCCCCACTAGCTTTAAAAACGGCAACATTGTTTCTCTGGGCAAGAGGGCCTCAGAAATTTCCGGTCGGCGGCCGCGCCATTGACCCACTGCCACGACCTAAGCCCATTTTGATCCAGAAAAAACCCTGGCCTATGTCTGAGCCCTTCTCAGAGTGGGTTTGTGTTCATCTAATACCCTCTAATTTCACTTTGTAAAGCGAATGAGAAAAATAACAGAACCACTTTGAATCTGTCTTGTCTCTTTATTTAAGTGCTTTAACTCACTAGATCACATGGATGTAGGTTATACAATGTATTATTGTTGACAATGAACAGTCATGTTAAAGGACATTTTAGTATTTCAGCTTTTAACATGGCATTGGCTTGTGTTGGTCTATCACAAATCATTTCTATTTGAACACACACTAGTCAAAACACACTTAAAGGCCCAGTGCAGTCAAACATGAGATTTTCCTGTGTTTTATATATATTTCCACACTGAGGTTGGAATAATACTGTGAAATTATGATAATACCCTTTTAGTATAAGAGCGGTTTGAAAAGGTCACCTGAAATTCCAGCCTGTTTTGTTTGGTTGGATGGGGTTTTGGCCTGCCTGGTGACATCACCAGGCAGTAAATTAGTTAATAGACCAATAAGGAGTTCCAAACCACTGCCAATAACAGCTAGTTTTCTGTTTTGTTTTCCCCTCCCCACTCAGACCACTCCCAGACAGTCCTAGCAAAATGATTGCTTGAGAAATTGTTCTTTGCTAAGAGCCTGACCATTTGAATTGAAAACAATCACAGTAAGGTACTACATTTTTATCCAGAAAGGATTTGATATTGAGATAACGGCTGCATTGGACCTTTAACACACATTGCAGTCATCTGAAAGAGTTTTGTACAGGAACACTACCAGGCTTCCATTTCATTCTGCAATCTGAAAAGACAAGTAAGGTTGAAGCGCTATCCATGGACATAAACGTATTATAGAGTGGATTTAACTAAACTGAAATCAGGGCTCACCTTGGCTGGCCCTGGGTCCCGGGTGCGCACAGCCACACGCAGTTTGTTGACCTGAGTCTCAGCCATGTCTGCCCTCTCCTCGGCATTATCCAGCTCATGAACCTTCTTCCTGTACTTAGTGGCGTTATAGTTCACCTGCTCCTCCTTGTGGGGAGAGAGGGAAAATACTTAATATTACAAAGTATTCTGTCAACGTATTGTTCAATAATTGTAAGAGATTGTTGGTTCTGATGGGCTGTTGTGTGCGACTGAAAGGAAAACCTATAATACTCACCGCCTCCTCAGCCTGCCTCTTGTAGCTCTTGACCTTAGCCTGCAGCTTGTCAATGAGCTCTTGCATCCTCAGCAGGGTCTTCCTGTCCTCCTCAGTCTAAACAAACAGCAAAAACACTCAATAATGGACTGTAAAGGCCTCTACTACCTTAATTGTCCTCATCATCTGTTGATGCAGGGAAAGTGGTCCATAACTTATTTTGTTGTTCTGGTTCAACTACAATGACTTGCTATGAAAGGGGTACTGTGTAGGTGGGCACCAGTGAAGGCTGCGGAGGGAAGAACGGCTCATAATAATGGCTGGAATGGAGTGAATGGAATGGTATCCAGCACGTGTTTGATACTATTCACTCCATTCCAGCCATTATTATGAGCCGTCCTCCCCTCAGCAGCCTCCACTGGTTGGCACTGACTGCTGTGGTTGTTTACCTGGTAGGAGAGCTCCTTAACCCTTCTCTCATATCTGCGTACTCCCTTCTGAAACTCTTCGCTCTTCTTCTGCTCACACAACAGCTCACTCTCCAGATCCCTCACCTGTGGGTTGCAGAGGTTGGTCAGTTAGCCATTCATTGATGTCCATGTTGTGCTGTGTGAATTCCATTACTCCCATATACATTTTATTACATGTTTAACGGATTTCATTTTTTGAAAAGTGAGCCTCTTGGAGTGGCTAAAAAAGGCATAGAGGACATAATTTTTGCTCTAACTTCAATTTTTCAGTAAAACATTAAACATTTTCAGATTATTTTTTTGGGGGAAAAGTGAAGAGGGCCACCCGGTAAACATTTAATTGAATTTGTATGGCCTTATTCGCTTTAATGTGACCCTCACCCTGATCTCCAGCTTCTGGATCTGTTTCTTCCCTCCTTTGAGGGCAATCTGCTCGGCCTCGTCCAGCCGGAGCTGTAGGTCCTTGATGGTCTGCTCCATGTTCTTCTTCATCCTCTCCAGGTGAGAGCTGGTGTCCTGCTCCTTCTTCAGCTCCTCTGCCATCATGGCCGCCTGGATAGGAGATGAGAGGGAATATCAAAACCATAGTTTCAAAATGGACTGGATTGGTTGCCCCAACACACAATTAAAGCGTTGAATATTGTGAGATCAGGGGTTCACTGTCTTGGTAACGTACATCTGTGATGGCCTTCTTGGCCTTTTCCTCGGTATTACGGCACTCCTGTCCTGCCTCGTCCACCTCCCCAGCCATCATGGACAGGTCACTCTCCAGCTTCTTCTTATGATTGATCAGGCTTGTGTTCTGTTCAAGCAGAAGGTTCATAAAATAAATAGCTAAATATGGTTTCTGTGTGGCTAAGATATATCAAACAATCCTGTCACATTGTACATCCTTCAAACCTTTCTTCCTCTCATCCATCCCATGCCCTAACCAGCCAGCCCCCTGAGGCGTCTCCTACCTGGGCATGCAGCAGGTTGACTCTCTCAGTGGCCTCCAGCAGCTCATGTTCGGCCATCTTGCGTCCGCGGTCGGTCTGCTCCACCACTGTGCATAGCTCCTCCACCTCGGCCACCAGCAGGTTGTTCCTGCGCTCCGTCAGGCCCCACTGCTCCTTCAGCTCCTCATTCTGGTGGATGCGGTCGTCCAGCTCCAACTGGAGGTCCTGTAGACCCCATCAGACAACAGTGGTTAATGGTCACTGAACAAATGGTTTATTAATAATGATTTATATAATTATTGCCTACTTCACACATTTGTTCTTTAGTTTTTTGGCAAAAAAGGTGGTGTGTAGTTCCAGTAGTTAGCTACACGGCAAAAAAGTAACAAACTACTGAAAATACTACCTAGATTTGAATTGAGTTCAATTACCAGTGGTGTAAAGTACTTAATTGAAAATACTTTAAAGTACTACTTAAGTCGTTTTTATGGGGGTCTGTACTTTACTATTTATATTTTTGACAACTTTTACTCCCATACATATAAGTTGGGATATGTACTTTTTACTGCCATACGGTTTTCCCTGACACCCAAAAGTACGGTACTCGTTACATTTCGAATGCTCAGACAGGACAGCAATATTGTCCAATTCACGCACCTATCAATATAAAGGGGGGGGGGGGGGGGGGTTTAGATGGTCATACCAGGTATAAAATAAAAATAATATATATAAAATATTCAATTTGGCCTTAGCCCATAGAATCACATTGATTAACACATTCATAAATGGCAAAAAAGATAGTATCCTAAGGAATAAGGTTTTGAAGTGGCTGTTCTATATCTAAGAGATATAGCAAAGCTCAGGAAATATATATATTTTTTTGACACATTTAACCCCTTATTTCTTTGGGCACAAAACTACCTCCATACTTCCATTTGTTTGTATGGGTTACATTCACCCGAGTCCTGTGACACTTGTGGGAGTCGTAGAGCAAAATGGAGAACACCATCGTGTTTGTGAGAGTCTCCCCTTTCCATAGAGTTCGGACACTACAGACGTTTTTGTGAGAAGACGTTTTTTTGGGATGTCTCATGGTCTGACAAACACCGCTGTAGCTCGGACACCTTCCACCGCAGATGCGGAAGGCTGACATAGGCGGATGCGGTGGATTGAGACGCAGCCCTTGCAAAAAAACTGATATCTAACTTTTCTTTATTATGTTACTTAGATTGACACACGGGTGCGTCATTAGACTCTTAATGATTAAAATAAGATACTTTTAGACTTTTACTCCAGTCATATTTTACTGGGTGACTTTCACTTTTACTTGAGTCAATTTATATTAAGGTATCTTTATTTTTACTCAAGTATGACAATTGGGTCCTTTTCCACCACTGTCAACTTCCACCACGCTACTGCAAAATGTAGTTAAATTACTAGCTGAACTACATGTAGTTCACTACTCCAACACTTGTTGTCTCACCTATCTTAGGATGAATTCACTAATTGTAAGTCGCTCTGGATAAGCATCTGCTAAATGTCTAAAATGTTAAATATCTGCCCTAAATATGAATTGTGTTTCCTTATACGTGTTGTTTGTGTGAAAAATCTATGACAATGTTGATCGTTTAAAAGCATGAATTGTGTTAGTGCTCCACTGGCCTTGATCTGGCCCTGCAGCTGGCGAAGTAGTCTCTGGGACTCGGCAGCATGGCGGTTGGCATGGTTCAGCTGGACCTCCATCTCGTTCATGTCTCCCTCCATCTTCTTCTTCAGCCGTACCGCCTCGTTCCTGGACCTGGCCTCAGCCTCCAGGGTTGTCTGCAGGGACTCCAGGGAGCGCTGGTGGTTCCGGCTGCAGGGAAAGTGACAAATGGGCTGCTTAGAGACAGGAGCCTAAAACACCATCATAAATAATGACCAATCTGTGCTCATTTTAAAAGCATACTGGAAAACTATCATGGATCATGAGTCCTTACCGGAGGTTATCAATTTCCTCGTCCTTTTCGGCTATCTTCCTGTCGACCTCAGACTTGAACTGGTTCAGCTCCAGTTGGACACGTAGGGTCTTGCTCTCCTCATACTCAAGGGTGCCCTGAATCAGAGCAATAGAACAGTGTCACATTTAGCTGAGTTACAGGGTCACACCAACTTAACACCCCTGTCAGATCATCTCTTTGTACCCTTGTGGTAAGAATAGACACTTTCCAACCACAGTCAGTTCTGCGTGCTCACCTCAGCTTCCTCCAGAGCAGCCTTGATGTCACTCTTCTCGACATCCAGAACCTTCTTCATCCTTTCCAGCTCGTGGATGGTCTTCCCACCCTGGCTGATCTGGTCAGCTAGGTCAGCTATCTCCTCTGGGGAAACAAATTACACTATGGGTTAGATAGCGTTAGGGTTAGATAGAGGCCTTTGTGTTCACTCTTGTGATGTTTATTAGCATTGTCTTATGATAGGTGGCGTCACTCCTACAACCACGCTCGTCCCTCAAACGACAATGGTTTATTGGTATTATTTAGAACAGTGTTTACCTTGCAGGTTCTTGTTTTCCCGTTTGATTGTCTCCAGGTGGTCTATGGCCTCCTCGTAGGAGTTCTTCAGCTTGAAGAGTTCAGTGCTCAGGCTGCGAGACTCCTTCTGAGAGCTCTCCAGTGCCGACTGGCAATCCTCATACTTCTGCCTCCACTCTGACAGCACCTGCAGCATTTTACATTGTCAGTACTCATGTTTATTATTTATTGTGCTCTTGGGTTGTCATGCAAATGTGGAAATCCTTCTTTTGACAACTTACTAACTACTAATGCTTATGGGCTCACTGCTTACCTTGTCAAAGTTGCGTTGTCTCTTGTCCAGGGCAAGGGCAGCAGCATTGGAGCGCTCCAGGTCCACAATCAGGTCTTCGATCTCTGTCTGCAGATGGTGCTTGGTCTTCTCCAGAGAGGAGCATTTAGCATGAGTTGCCTCCACTGCCTCTTCAGTGTTCTGCAGACGCACCGCCAGCTTCTTCCTTTAGGGTCACAGTCAGGGGTTAACATGACATTTTCTCAGAAAGAAGAGCAATAAGCGAGTCTTGTTCAAAAGCTTTTTTCACTCTCATTTATGTAGACAAACAGATCATTTGAGAGCATCAGACTTACTTGGCTTCCTCCAGCTCCTCAGTCCTCTGGATGGCATCGATCTCATACTTGGTCCTCCACTGAGCCACCTCAGCGTTGGCCCTGGCTAGGGCCTGCTGCAGCTCAGACTTGGCCTCCTGCTCCTCCTCATACTGCTCCCTCAGCAGGTCACAGTCATGTCTGGAGGACTGGAGGGCATTGGCCAGGGCATTCTTAGCCTGGGACAGAGAAGGAAGAAATCACATCATTCATATTCTTGTTATGGGGTCTGACAGGAAAAAGCCTTTAAACTTTTGTATTTTTACATATCAGGTTGATCACTTAATGTTTGACTTAAGTGTGACCTCTGACCTTGTTCTCCTCCTCCAGCTGTTTCTTTAGTTCCTCAGTGTTCTGGCTGAAGGAGATCTTGGTGCGCTGTAGCTGACTGACCATAGCCTCCCGCTCCTCCAGCCTACGGCTGTACTCAGCTACACACACACACACAGAGAGAGAGACAGAGAGAGAGACAGAGAGAGATACGTTTGGTAAGCTTCCCAAGGTCAGTTAACCTTCTGTCATGTCATGCCGTGCCGTGGCCCGTGTGACCCTTACAGCTCTCTGTGACAGCGCAGGCTCTCTGGTTGCTGATGTCAGTCAGCTGTCTCTGTAGCTCCTCTGCTTTGGCCCGGGCCTCGTTCATCTGGTCCTCATACAGATGACACATCTTCTCTGTGGTAGCCTGTTATCAAGCAAAACTCTGCCTTAGAAAATACTGAGTGTTATGTAATGTATTCTAACTTCTCATACTGTTGCAATTCAGGCCATCCCAACTAGCCTTGTGTGTAGGACACTGAGGAGATCGTCACATCTCAGTGACCAGACGAACCCTCTCTCCCTCTCACCTTGGCCTTGGAGAGGTGCTCCAGGTTAGAGGCCAGGTCCTCTGCTTCCATCCTGTACTCCGCCTTCTCCTTCTCCAGCTTCTGTTTGACGCGCTGTAGCATATCAATCTGCTCGCCCAGCTCCGCCACGCTGTCAGCGTGCTTCCTCCTCAGGGCGGTCGCTGTGGCCTCGTGGTGAAGCCCCGCCTCCTCCAAGTCTCTCCGCATCTTCAGGAAGTCCTGCTCGCGCTTCTTGTTCATGGCGATCTGGGCGGCCGAGGCCCCGCCCGCCTCCTCCAGTCTCTCACTCAGTTCCTCCAGCTCCCGGGACACGTCGCCACGCTGCTTCTCTGCCTTGGTCCTCCACACTCTCTCCGCCTCCAACTCCTCCTCCACCTCCTCGATACGAGTCTGAGGGAGAGGCAGGGGAACATTTACATTAGCAATTTGGTAACATACCTTATCCTCCAATGGAGACGTTTCTTTACAAGTGCTAAATGTCCTTTTATCTACTGTACTTTGTTTTTGTTTACGCATACATGTATATAGATCATGTGATGCATTATAGATGACTCCAAAGGAAATACTCTACCATGTTTAATATGACTGCTTTTAGTGTCTCAAAACTGGTGGTCCACAATGCGGTTTTTAAAATCTTATTTTTATAGAGACACATAGATAGACATACTTGCAATTCCTTTATTTTCTTTTGGAGTTGAATGACTAGGGCTTGCTCATCTTCCACCTTCGAACTGAACTGACTCATTTCAAAGTCTTTTCTGTTCGGGAGGAGATAGTGAGGAGTCAGAGGAATATACAGTACAAAAAAGATTTAACATGGATAAACATTGTTCTCTGTAAATGCTGATAAGTAATTCATTTGCAGACTAATTGACAGTCAGTAAATCGTTTATTTATACTTGGTCAGCTAACAATGATCTCACAGACCACTTATAAAGGCCTTATTAACTAACAGATTGAAGAGATGATTCTCACTTCTTGAGTTTCTCCTCCAGCTGCTGCTTGTCATTCTCCAGGTCCATGACAGACTCCATGGACAGCTTCAGATCCCCCTCCAGCTTACGCTTGACCCGCTCCAGATCCATACGCACCTTCTTCTCCTGCTCCAAGGAACCTTCCAACTTGGGGTGGGGTGGGGGGGGTTTACATCAGTATAAGATATATCATATCAGGACCATTTTAATGAATGGGACAGACGCTATGTACTTAACTAAGGAGATAGTTAGGCTACTGTATGAGGAGAGGTGTGTATTTTTCATGCCCCTTTACTCACATCGTCCACTTGCTGCTCCAGCTTGACCTTGGCCTTGCTCAGCATGTTGACCTTGTCCTCCTCGACCTGCAGGTCAGTCAGGGCCTGCTGGTGGGCCTCCTGCAGAGCCGCCTTCTCTTTGGTCAGGCTCAGGATGGACTCGTCCAGAACACCCATCTCCTCCATCAGGTTCTTCACCTGAGGAAAGACAGGGGGAACAAACAATGTGGTATAAATATCAAATATCAGAAGCAAAGGAAGGAAATATACCAGCAATGTGAGAAATAATCTCTGAAATATACTATAATATATACACAGTACAGTAAATTGACTGCCCAGGTAACACCAAGAGGTTTACAGGAATGCTGAATAATGTCTCTGCAGGCAGTAAGCCACCATTCCCCTGCTCACCTTGTTCTCCGTGGCATGTCTCTCCTTCTCCACCTTGGCCAGGGTGATCTCCAGGTCGTCGATATCCTTCTTCAGCTCTGCACACTCCTCCTCCAGCTTGCGTTTCTTGGCAGTCAGGCTGGCGTTCATCTCCTCCTCATCCTCCAGTCTCTCCATCAGTTCTTTGACCTTGGCCTCCAGCTGCAGTTTGGCCTTGATCAGCAGGTCACAGCGGTCCTCTGCATCCGCTAGGTTGTCCTGCTCCTGGGGTCAGGGGTCACACAGAGATTTCCTGTTTAGTACTTCCTCTTAGCATCACTTATCTTGATTTATTGCCTAATCGTTTCTGGTATAATCTTATTAAGTCTACATTTATCTTGTCTGATCATATTGTCTTCATCTTTCCTAATCCTGTCTCATTGATCCTTATCCTACAGTAAAGACTCACTGCCTGCAGCTGCAGGGCCAGGTCATTCTTCTCCTGGATCAGGGCCACCTGTCTCTCCTCCACCTCCTTGCGCTTGGCCTCCGACTTGTCAAACGCCTCCTTCAGCTTGGCAAACTCCTCCTTGAGGGCGGCCAGCTCCTTCTCGGCCGTGGCGCTCCTCAGGAGAGGCCTGAGCTTGAAGAACAGCATCATCCATGGCCAGTTCTTCACCGCTGCAAACGCCCGGATGTTCCACTGGATCACCTCTAGAGCCTCTCTGTGGAGTTAGAGGGGGAAGTAATTCAGGTTTACACAGGGGTGAACAGAGGGGAATGATTTTTGTGTGCACTAAGTGGTGTTTTCCGAATGACCTTTGAGACTGTACTAAGGAAAGGGAAAATACTTCAACATATGCCTGATTTGATTAGCGATAGAGAAGTGAGAGGATAACACATTTAAAGTGTGTATTAGTAGAACTTTTTGGAAATCGGCTGTAAAGCAGTAGACTATAAAGGTAGCTAGAATTCTTTGTCCTATGGCTTTCCACCCTTACACTTCCCTGTCATGTGTCCAATCAACTGGTCATGTTGGTGGGCTGGTGGTGTGGTCCAGATTCCTCCCTTCCTCCTCTGTTCTAAATTAGATCTGTGTGTGCCCTGCTTCCCAAATATGGCCTGGCGAGCGCAGGACATTGTCTCATTTGCTTTACAATAGCGGGTGCTATGACACAGCAAGCATTCCAGTCGGGGAAATAAATCAATAGTGAATCCCTGGCAAAGCAAGGCAGAGACAAAGGTCAGGTAGAGGTCCTTTTTATCTGAAACTCCAGCCCACTGTGAAACCTAAGACTTAATCCCTTATCACCTGACCAGTTATTCCAGCTATGTGGAGGCTCCATGGACAAAGGGGGCCGGGGGAGAATGGGTTATTATTAATACGAGGCTGGGCTGGAGGACATGACAGCTGCTGTTACTGCTCTTTAAGGGCCATGTGTCAACCCCTCCTGTTTTTGTAAGCACCATTTGCACCCGGAGGTTATAACGGGCTATTTCCACCGAGACCACACACACAATGTAAAGCAAGCAAGTGCTGACACACGCTCGCCACACTCTATACATTCCACGTACATACCAACAAACCTGGGGGCAAATACACACACTAACCCACAGAGTTCCCATACAAAACACTACTAAATAACCTTGTCAATAAAATGTTTTGGGTTGGGCCTGAAAACTCAAGACACAGCAGTCCCAGTGGAACCGCCTGACTTGTGCTCCCTACCTCTCGTGCATCATCTTGCGTCTCTCCATCCTCATGAGTTTGCCCCGAAGCATAGCCTGCAGCATGGTAAGGATCTCCGACAGCCTTTCATCCCTCATGTCCTCCAGCAGGCCCAGCAGCCCTGCCTTGAAAAACACCTGAGGACACCCAAACCATACTGTCAGTTATAGTTTCTCTCTCCAAGTCTGCCCCAATACACATTAACATACTGTCTGTTTCTGTCAACAACCGATGAGGAGTGGCCATTCTATAAGCTTCAGCCCCAACACAAGGGACACCTGGAGATGAGATCTCAAAACATAAGGCTATCTCTCAGCTGCAAACTCATCCAGGTGCACTAGTGCCAGTCATACAGTATCCACCTTGGTGATTCCAAACTTGTACTGGGTGTGGTCGATGTCCAGGGAGCCCAGCAGCTTCTCCACAGCCTTCCTGCTGTCCACAAAGGAGTCCTCTGGGATCGCCATGGGGTTCAGGATACGATAGCTGCACAGGACAGAACACACAGCAGGGAAAACATTTATTCTGCACATTATTGCCATTTTGATAATGAGATGGCACACTCGTGTTTTGCTGAGTTCACAATGGCAGCCCAATTCTGATATTTCTTTCCACAAATTGGTCTTTTGACCAATCACATCAGATCTTTTCACATCATATATTTTTCAGAGCTGATCTGATTGGTCAAAATACCAATTAGTGACAAAAAGATCAGAATTGGGCTGCCTGTCTAAACGCAGCCTTTGTGTCTCTGTATGTTAAGGTTCTACATTGTCCAGAGAGGTGCTGTGCCCACCGTTGTTTGAACTCTGCATATAGGATCCGGTTAGGGAAGCCCTTCCTACAGATACGGATTCCCTCCAGTACTCCGTTACACCGCAACTGGTGGAGGACCTGGAATGGGTCCATGCCCCCTTGGATAAAGACAGAAATAATCAATCTTACAGCACTGAGACACCTAGCATCAGAGATGGAGCCAACGGTGACAAGGTGAAGTCAGTTGTATTAAAGCTTTAGATACGTCATCATCATAATCCATTACCTGGAGTCTTTGACTCATTCGGGATAATGCAACGCACAAAGTGAGGCTGGGTGCTGCGTAGGTTGGCCATCAGTTTGTTCAGATTTTCCTGCAAATGGGCAGATTAGCAGAAAGTGGATATGATTTACAATTCAATGAGCAAGTAAAAGTGTCTTACTGGATAAATCCCACAAATCCTTTTGATCCAATCCTGTACCTCACCTAAAACAACATAATGTGTTGAGGGAACATTACATTAAAGAAGTGTGGGTGCTCTTCTCCAAGGTGTGTCTTACCTCATCCTCGTTCTCAGTCAGAGGCATGAAAGAGTGGATGTAGCACAGACTTAAAGTGATGTTCATGAGTTGAGTTACCTAAACATCACTGCAAGTCTTAACTACTTCCCTCTCAACTCAGGCACGTCATCGTGACTCAGGAAAACAACAGAGATTTAAATCCTTCCCTTCTTCTGGTCTTTACTAAACAATACAACAGACACTTAGACACACTCTCGTAATGCCCGTCTGAGTCTACCTCACTCTAACACACCTTGTGAAGCTGTGACACAGTCTGGAAGGAGGCCCCTTTCCTCCTCTTCCCTTTGGCCTCGGTCTTTGGATCAGCAGCTGGAAGGTCAAAACGTAGATCATGAGTACTTAATTTCCCCATTTACTGTAGTTTCACGTTCAGATATGTGAAGATATAAAGTTGTCAATACCTGCATCACTACTGATGAAGTTCTCAAAGAGGCTTGCGAACAGTTTATTAGATGACTTCTGGAAACAGGTAACTATTGTCTCATTTAAGGGGTCTTTGTTTTTGTCCAGCCATCCACTGATGTTGTATGGTACCTGGAGTGAGAGGGAGGGTCAATGACGACATCCAATAGATTTGTATAAAAGTAAATGTTTCAAATGAACAGTGGGTAGAAACACACCCATTCCACACACACACACAACAGCACAGACTGGATCACTTACCACTCCAGCATAGTGCACCAGCTCAAAGTGGGTCTCATATTTGCGTTTCTTGTCAGGCCGTGGCTTGAGGAAGTTGGGAGACTTGCCCACATGGTTGTCATACAGCTTGGTCTTAAAGCTGATATCAGTGGCCTTTGGAAACATGCAATCTTCCTCCAGGATGGACAGTATGCCCATGGACTGCAGGAAACATACATACAGTATAATATCACACACAGATACAACCCCCAACATTGGCAGTTCCTTCAGCTCTAGCTCCTTATTTGAATGGCTGAGACAACAGCCACATACCTTCTCTATGAGGTTGATACAGGCTTGTAGATCCAGGCCAAAGTCGATGAAGGTCCACTCAATACCCTCCCTCTTATACTCCTCCTGCTCCAGGATGAACATGTGGTGGTTGAAATACTGTTGCAGTTTCTCATTGGTAAAGTTGATGCACAGCTGCTCAAAGTTGTTGAACTTGAGGGGAGAACGGAGAGATAGAGGGAAGGGGGGATAGAAAAGAAAGATAGGTTTATGAGCTGAAACAGTCTGGAGAAAGACCATATCAAATGCAGAGTTTGTTCAGAAGCAGGCTTGGCTTTATAATGTGTAGGCCTACCTCGAAGATCTCAAACCCTGCAATGTCCAGCACACCGATGAAGAACTGGCGAGGCAGGGACGTGTAGAGGCTCTTGTTGATCCGGCCCACCATCCACTTGAACATGCGGTCGTAGGTGGATTTGGCTAGAGCTCCAACTGAATAGTTCACCTACACAAAGGAAACATACAGCTGTTACAGTATATCACTGACTTTACTCAGAAAACAATATTGGCAATGTGAATAATATTTGCTTGAAGTCCATAATACCTTCTTGTTCTACAGTTGTTCTACGGAGACAGAGAAAGGGAGCTCACCTGCTCAACAGTCTGGCCCTTGATGATGTACTCGTTCCCCACTTTGACCCGAGGGTGCAGCAGTCCTTTGACGAGGTCAGCTGAACTGATTCCCATCAGGTAGGAGGCTTTGTCAGCACCTGAAGAGCAAAGCACATGCATACACAATGTATGTATTGGGTGGTGTTTTATATTGACACTGTTAAGAGAGTAAATATATTATATTCATTTTTCATGAAGTAAATGGAAAAGGGGACTCACTTTCAGTGCCGTCAGCTTCTGCTTGCTCCTCTCTCTGAACCGTCTTGAACTTCATGTTGCCAAAGTGCATGATGGCCCCCACTATTTTATAGCAGCCATACTTCTCCTCAGGAGTGAAGCACAGACTGTCCATAGCATGCTGAGGGAGGGGTCAGGGAGGGAAAGAGACAGACTAGAGAGTTAGGAGAAAACAGACAGGGAGCACAGAAAATGAAAACAACAAACGGATAGAGAGAGACACACAATAGAGATGGAACTCAACATGGAAAACAGAGGGAAGGAAAGAGCATTCGTAGAAAGAGGCAGAGCTTACATCTGTGGCCAACAGTTCCTCTTCGTCATTCATGTTCTCCACTGTTGTCACACCCTGGGAGCAAAAGTGGTAGTCGAAGGGATTGGTGGAAATCAACAACATGTCTGGAAGATCAACGAGAAGACATCCTGTTAAAGGCATGGGGCACTTGGAGAACTCTGAACTGATAAAACTATTGGGATAGCTATTACTCATTTAATGCATCCATTGCTAAATATGCCCTTGTATGTAGCCTTCCCATACCTTGAAGCTCTGGTTTCTTGTGAGATAATATCTGGTAGTAGATATGGTAGCTCCTCTCTCCAGGCTGCTGAAAGACCACTCTGGACTTCTCCAGAAGATCTACAAAGGGTGACAGTGGAGAGGAGGTTTGCATTGGCTTGGAGGATAACTGTTGGATGTGACAACTGTTGGATGTGAAAAACTAAATTCTACATGGTGTGATGTCAGACAGCTTACATATGTCAATATCAGCAGAGGCCAGTTTCCCTGTAGGACCAAAGTGGATCCTGACGAACTTGCCCTGAGACGAGAGAGAAGAGAAGAGAAGAGAAAGAGAGAGACACAAACACAAACACATATTCTTATCCATTCTACTCAGAAGAGATGTTAAGCCAATCTATGTAGTGATAAATGATGTGACACTCACAAATCGGGAGGAGTTGTCGTTCCTCAGTGTTTTGGCATTACCAAAAGCCTCCATGGCTGGGTTAGCCGCAATGATCTGGTCCTCTAAGGTACCCTGGGGAAGTAAAAGGTGAGTGACTTGATGCCAATTGCTGTAAGGCTGGCAACATGATTTTAAGGAAAGCACAAGGTGATTTTGCTCACTGATTGGCATGTGAAGAGAGAATGTATTAGCGGGGGAGAAATTGACTTCCAAATAGGAATAATGTGATGGAAGGAGGATAAAAACATCTGGGAAAAAGTCAAAAACCAAAATAGGGTATCAACTTAGATGTTACAATAAAAAGACATTTGCAAAAAGTAACTGGGGAAAGTAGGGAGAAAATAATGGAATAAAAAGGAATCATGAAAAACAGGCATGTTTTGGGACAAGGAAGTCTGCAGGATCAGGGAGACAAACGACAAAGGTAACTCTTTGGTTTGCAAACCAGGGAAAGCCAGGGGGAAAACTTTAGGCTACCTATAGGTCAAATACACACAACCAGTAGTTATCAAATTGTCAAAATATAACAAGTCTGTCAAAAAATAAACAAAATGCAAAAAAGAATGAAAGATGAAAAAGGGATTGGGTTGAAAAAAGGGTGGGGGAATGTTCAAATCTGGGAAGCTCTCTGCCTTACTCCTTTCTTGGCTGCATCACCCAGGGCTGCTACAATGGCAAAATACTGAATTACACGTTTCGTGTTGACTGTTTTGCCAGCACCGGATTCTCCGCTGGGAGTGGTAGACAAAAATGTATTTGAAAAAAATCAACATAATTATAAGGAAAAATGTATGTACCTCACTCTGACAAGAGTGACAAAAATGAACTGTTTCCATCAGCACAGTAAATACTATAATGCAAGAGATCCCTGGAAGGGAAGACGAAACCTAAATAATAAGTAAATGAAAAAAATTCTAAGTGCCAACTAAATGCTTTTGGAGGGAGTATGAATTCTATGCTTTTTGGGTGAATTGTAACAATTCATTAGAATTTGTAGAAAACACATTTTTCAGTAATTTGAAAACAAACACAGCTGTGTCAATCTAATGGCAGCATTAGAATAGAGCAGGGCTTTGACTTACGTGATAAGCATGGATTGATTCTCACGATCTATTAAGAGAACATATTGCCCAGAGTTAGCAGAAAAATAAGTATTTTTAGGCATTGTGTAAGCACTGAGCATATTTGATCTAAATGTAGAACATGGATTCTTAATTCCAACATGACACAGCTTCTATGTTTAGAGTGTGTATTGAGACCAAAGACTGTATTGGTTGAGACTTACTGCGCAACATATCACTGTAGGCGTTGTCAGCGATGGCGTAGATATGGGGCGGGGTCTCATTGCGCCTCTTGCCTTTGTAGGCAGCGATCACATCAGACGAATAGACAGGAAGATACTTATATGGGTTGATTGTCACACAGAACAACCCAGAGTAGGTCTGCAGCGTTAGAGAGATGAGAGAGAAAGAGAGAGACAGAGACAGAAAGCGAGAGAGAGAGAGAGAGAGAGAGAGAGAAAAGAGAGAAAGAGATGACAGAAAATGTGGTTGTGTGAGAGATACAAACAAGGAGAGAGGGAGTTAAACAGAAAGGAAATGAAATAAATAAAAGGTAAAAGTTTTGTGAAACACAAAAATAAATACACCACATATAGAGTGAGAGACACAGGGAGAGTCTCACTGGTTCAGAATAGCCTCAGTTTATCCTCCCCTCTATGGTGTGATGTACAGAACCGTGACTCACATAGATCATCCACATACTGTAGCGCCTAGTGAGGTTGAAAAGCACAGAGGCTTCATTGAGGTTGGTCAGCATGGCCATGTCCTCAATCATGTCAAACTTCGGAGGGTTCGTCTGCTGAATGTCATCCTCCTTCACAACCAAAGTCTTAGGGAGAGAGGGGGAAAAAACAACAGTGTAAGTCTGTAGTCAATTCATACAGTAGGTAGGTGATGATATATCACTTAACCCTCCTATTATGTTGCAGGTCAATTTGACCCATTTCCACTTTGGAGTTGTCTAAAATACTAGTTAACCTCTCTTTTTCTCCATGAAATTAAATGAGTTTTCCTCCTTTAGGGTCATGAACCTAACTGCAAAATGTGGACACACTGATGTGTTGTGGAATGTCTGTGTAGATTTTGTATACAAACATGATGTTGTGGGTTATTTTGACCTGGTGGCTTTCATGTGTATAGATATTTGCACAGGTCCAAAATAAACAAATGTCTTTGATGTATTTTGTTTTGACTGGTTCTGGTTGCACTTGTATAATTATGTTCGGGTGAAAAGGAGCTTTCCCAAGCTTCTCCTTCTCAGTGCAAGAGCAGCAGATCTCAAAAACGAGCTCCTAAAGATTTTCAGTCAATGAAGCCTTATCACAAATTCTGGACTGTGACAGTGAAATAGAAGAAGAGGTTTCAGAGACAGAGGCCATTTCAGAGATAGAGGACAATGCTGTTGATGATCCAGATTGTAAATTTTCTTTGGTGAAGAGGATTCAGAGGAGGTGTCTGTCATACCATCCCCTCCACCAGATGAGAGAGAGAGCATGCAACAACCATCATCCAGAGAAGAGAGGACATGGAAGTCTAAAGATGGTAATATAGAATGGTCACCATCACCACAACGAAGTCAAGGTAGACTGTCAGCTTCCAATGTAATCAAAATTGACTGTCTTGAGTGTGTTTAAACTGTGCGGGTCAATCTGACCCATACCACAATGGACGTAAAAAAATGTCAGCAAAGCACCAGGGTTAATTCAAGGGACTTAAAGCACTACTGTACCACATCATAATCAACTTTTGGTGCTAACATTTCATATACAAGGTTATTAGGTCTGCAAATCTATTTCATGAAAAAAATATATAACAGTCTATGCACTTCAGAACAAATATAAGTATATTTGGATTTAGCTACTGTATATCATGGACTTAATGATGTCAGTTTCAACAAGTGTTGAAGAGAAGAGTCAGTATTATGATATCACTTTCTGCAATATTAACTACAGGACAGGTGCTCAAATTATCCTTATTATGTTGTATTCAACTTCAATGAATAGCCTACCAACCCTTCCATCTTTGGTCTCCACAGTGGCTTTGTCACCATCAAGTTCTTTAACTTCCACCTCGATGTAAGCCTCCTTCTCATCCGGGATCCAGACTCGTTTTGTACCTGAGCAAAATAATAGACATTTAATGGGCATTTAGAAGACAACTGAGGGACAAAAACTTTACAAAAAAAAAGTGTACCACCAAAACTTGCAAAACTGTCGAAAATGTCATGGTCAGCTTCCATATAGTCCATAGATAGTAGTGTATGGCATGACAAATACAATTGTTGAACTGATTTGCGTTTCTGACAGTTATCCTACCATCAAAAGCCAGGGTCCTGGCGGCCAAAGCCTCCAAGTTGGTGAGACGTAGGAACGAGGCTGCATCTCCGAAATCTTTAGTTTCATTAAAGCGAGACATGGTGACAACTCCGAGGGAAGAAACAGCACCAGCGCACCTACAATGAATTAGAGCAGCAACTTAAACACATTGAAAACATGCTCAAAACTGCCGAATTGTAAAATGTGATTACCAATAGGCCTATTACTATAAAATGATGGTTAGTTGGTGCATCTGCTGTACTAACCGTTGAACGCACTGTTAATGTTTAGCTAGTGCGCTAAAGTCTCTTTTATTGTCCTCCTCAAGGTCAGGGTTAGGGGAGCTATGTTAGATATCCCCATGTGTCCCCTTCCTCAGCAGCCCATTGGCTCGGACCAAGTGCACCGACCGTCACGAATGGCAATCTGCATTTTTATCTCTTCTCAAACCTACAGTAGGCCAGTTATTTTTAAAACGGCATTGTTTTACAGAGGATTACATCAATGTTTGACTTTATTCTGTCATTCATAAACTGTACATTGTCAATCTAACAGTGCAGAAGATGTGCACGTTTAAACTGTAAATCAATTGGAACAGCAGTGTTCTTTTCTGTTCATGCCATGAATCATAATGTTTTCATTCAATTTGATAGTTTTAATCAGAAACATAATAAGATCTGACTATGGAGCAAACTTGAATCTGAATGTGCAGAAGGCCCCCACTGGGCAAAAACTGATTGAATCAAGGCTGTTTCCACGTAATTTCAACCCCAAAAAATCAATGTGATTTGTGGAAAAAAGATGAGAAAAAATCAAAGTAAGGGAATTGTCCTATTTTTTAACACCCAACTTTTACCCTAAATCCAATGACATGGTGAAATGTGTCTAGTGGGTCAGGGAGTTTAGTGTTCCTGCCTGGTGCACAATGTATTTGGTATGAGCTTCAGAAGATGACTGTGACTGTTGTGGCAATTAGAAAATATAGTCTGTCAAGATGTTCCATGTTACAGATTAAAGTTCCCCACCAAATCATATAGTGATTGACCTGGACTACAAGTGGCATTCATTTTTTATCAAATCTGTACAATAAAGACAATTCATGACCATAATGATACCATTTGGTTTTCAAATAGGAATGGACAAGGCTATAGGTCAATGAAAAGGGGGATGACTGTAATGTTGGATGGTAGGCGTGCCTATCAGCACTTAAGGAGCTTGTTAATTCTCAAGGTTTTGCTCGCCTGAGGTAGAGTATCTTATGATAAGCTGTAGACCACACTATTTACCAAGAGAGTTTTCATCTATATTTTTCATACAGTGAGGGAAAAAAGTATTTGATCCCCTGCTGATTTTGTACGTTTGCCCACTGACAAAGAAATGATCAGTCTATAATGTTAATGGTAGGTTTATTTGAACAGTGAGATACAGAATAACAACAAAAAAATCAAGGAAAACGCATGTCAAAAATGTTATAAATTGATTTACATTTTAATGAGGGAAATAAGTATTTGACCCCCTCTCAATCAGAAAGATTTCTGGCTCCCAGGTGCAGGTAACGAGCTGAGATTAGGAGCACATTCTTAAAGGGAGTGCTCCTAATCTCAGTTTGTTACCTGTATAAAAGACACCTGTCCACAGAAGCAATCAATCAATCAGATTCCAAACTCTCCACCATGGCCAAGACCAAAGAGCTCTCCAAGGATGTCAGGAATAAGATTGTAGACCTACACAAGGCTGGAATGGGCTACAAGACCATTGCCAAGCAGCTTGGTGAGAAGGTGACAACAGTTGGTGCGATTATTCGCAAATGGAAGAAACACAAAAGAACTGTCAATCTCCCTCGGCCTCGGGCTCCATGCAAGATCTCACCTCGTGGAGTTGCAATGATCATGAGAACGGTGAGGAATCAGCCCAGAACTACACGGGAGGATCTTGTCAATGATCTCAAGGCAGCTGGGACCATAGTCACCAAGAAAACAATTGGTAACACACTACGCCGTGAAGGACTGAAATCCTGCAGCGCCCGCAAGGTCCCCCTGCTCAAGAAAGCACATATACAGGGCCGTCTGAAGTTTGCCAATGAACATCTGAATGATTCAGAGGAGAACTGGGTGAAAGTGTTGTGGTCAGATGAGACCAAAATCGAGCTCTTTGGCATCAACTCAACTCGCCGTGTTTGGAGGAGGAGGAATGCTGCCTATGACCTCAAGAACACCATCCCCACCGTCAAACATGGAGGTGGAAACATTATGCTTTGGGGGTGTTTTTCTGCTAAGGGGACAGGACAACTTCACTGCACCAAAGGGACGACGGACGGGGCCATGTACCGTCAAATCTTGGCTGAGAACCTCCTTCCCTCAGCCAGGGCATTGAAAATAGGTTGTGGATGGGTATTCCAGCATGACAATGACCCAAAACACACGGCCAAGGCAACAAAGGAGTGGCTCAAGAAGAAGTACATTAAGGTCCTGGAGTGGCCTAGCCAGTCTCCAGACCTTAATCTCATTGAAAAAATATGTGGTGGGAGCTGAAGGTTCGAGTTGCCAAACGTCAGCCTCGAAACCTTAATGACTTGGAGAAGATCTGCAAAGAGGAGTGGAACAAAATCCCTCCTGAGATGTGTGCAAACCTGGTGGCCAACTACAAGAAACGTCTGACCTCTGTGATTGCCAACAAGGGTTTTGCCACCAAGTACTAAGTTGTGTTTTGCAGAGGGGTCAAATACTTATTTCCCTCATTAAAATGCAAATCAATTTATAACATTTTTGACATGCGTTTTTCTGGATTTTTTTGTTGTTATTCTGTCTCTCACTGTTCAAATAAACCTACCATTAAAATTATAGACTGATCATGTCTTTGTCAGTAGGTAAACTTACAAAATCAGCAGGGGATCAAATACTTTTTTTCCCTCACTGTAGCTGTCTATTTACCACCACAAACCAATGCTGGCATTAAGATTGCACTCAATGAGCTGTATAAGGCCATAACTAAACAGGAAAACGCTCATCCAGAGGCAGCGCTCCTAGTGGCCGGGGACTTTAATGCAGGGAAACTCAAATCCGTTCTACCTCATTTCTACCAGCATGTTAAATGTGCAACCAGAGGAAAAAATACTCTAGACCACCTTTACTCCACACACAGAGACGCATACAAAGCTCTTCCTCGCCCTCCATTTGGCAAATCTGACCATAACTCTATCCTCCTGATTTCTGCTTATAAGCAAAAACTAAAGCAGGAAGCATCAGTGACTCGGTTAATAAAAAAGTGGTCAGATGACGCAGATGCTAAGCTACAGAACTGTTTTGCTAGCACAGACTGGAACATGTTCCGGGATTCTTCAGATAGCATTGAGGAGTACACCACATCAGTCACTGGCTTCATCAATAAGTGCATCGATGACGTCGTCCCCACAGTGACCGTACGTACATACCCCAACCAGAAGCCATGGATTACAGGCAACATCCGCACTGAGCTAAAGGGTAGAGCTGCCGCTTTCAAGGAGCGGGACTCTAACCTGGATGCTTGTAAGAAATCCCGCTATGCCCTCCGACGAACCATCAAACAGGCAAAGAGTCAATACAGGACTAAGATTGAATCGTACTACACCGGCTCTGACGCTCGTCGGATGTGGTAGGGCTTGAAAACTATTACAGACTACAAAGGGAAGCACAGCCACGAGCTGCCCAGTAACACAAGCCTACCAGACGAGCTAAACCACTTCTATGCTCGCTTCGAGGCAAGCAACACTGAAGCATGCATGAGAGCACCAGCTGTTCGGGATGACTATGTGATCATGCTCTCCGTAGCCGATGCGAGTAAGACTTTTAAGCATGTCAACATTCACAAGGCCGCAGTGCCAGACGGATTACCAGGACGTGTACTCCGAGCATGTGCTGACCAACTGGCAAGTGTCTTCACCTAAATTTTCAACATGTCCCTGACTGAGTCTGTAACATGTTTCAAGCAGACCACCATAGTCCCTGTGCCCAAGGACACTAAGATAACCTGCCTAAATGACTACTGACCCGTAGCACTCACGTCTGTAGCCATGAAGTGCTTTGAAAGGCTGGTCATGGCTCACATCAACACCATTATCCCAGAAACCCTAGACCCACTACAATTTGCATACCGCCCCAACAGATCCACAGATGATGCAATTTCTATTGCACTCCACACTGCCCTTTCCCACCTGGACAAGAGGAACACCTACGTGAGAATGCTATTCATTGACTACAGCTCAGTGTTCAACACCATAGTGCCCTCAAAGCTCATCACTAAGCTAAGGATCCTGGGACTAAACACCTCCCTCTGCAACTGGATCCTGGACTTCCTGACGGGCCGCCTCCAGGTGGTAAGGGTAGGTAACAACACATCTGCCACGCTGATCCTCAACACAGGGGCCCCTCAGTGGTGCGTGCTCAGTCCCCTCCTGTACTCCCTGTTCACCCATGACTGCATGGCCAGGCACGACTCCAACACCATCATTCAGTTTGCCGACGACACAATAGTGGTAGGCCTGATCACCGACAACGATGATACAGTCTATAGGGAGGAGGTCAGAGACCTGGTCATGTGGTGCCAGGATAACAACCTCTCCCTCAACGTGACAAAGACAAAGGAGATGATTGTGGACTACAGGAAAAAAAAGAGGACTAAGCACGCCCCCATTCTCATCGACGGGGCTGTAGTGGAACAGGTTGAGAGCTTCAAGTTCCTTGGTGTCCACATCACCAACGAACTATCATGGTCCAAACACACCAAGACAGTCGTGAAGAGGGCACGACAAAGCCTATTCCCCCTCAGGAGACTGAAAAGATTTGGCAGGGGTCTTCAGATCCTCAAAAAGTTATACAGCTGCACCATCGAGAGCATCCTGACTGGTTGCATCACCGCCTGGTATGGCAACTGCTACTACAGTGGGTAGTGCGTATGGCCCAGTACATCACTGGGGCCAAGCTTCCTGCCATCCAGGCGGTGTCAGAGGAAGGCCCTCAAAATTGTCAAAGACTCTAGCCACCCTAGTCATAGACTGTTCTCTCTGCTACCGCACGGCAAGCGCTACCGGAGCGCCAAGTCTATGTCCAAAAGGCTTCTCAACAG